GGGTAGGTTAGTACAGTGTTTCTGAAAGTTTTTTGTGCTAAGCCTTTGTAAAATTCTTATTCCCCCTAACATATAGAGCGGTTATACGGTTAACTTAAACTCTGGACGAGTCCATTTTAGAATTTCTCACGTTGGGAAACACTGGGTTAATATATTTTTCGTTCATAATCGATTAGCCGAACAACCTCAGTCCCGAATTGTTTCGGATAATCGATGCTCTACCGTAAATTTAACCTAATAACTAATTAACATTAAAGATGATAATTAATAATAATACGTGTCAACACCACTTACAAGAAATCCTGGAAGTCATAAACATTTTATAATATGAGAAATTCATATGTTTTATTATGTAGCCGACAGATGAGGGACTTATGCCCGAAACCCGCATCTGCCTATAGGATATTCCGAATAAAGATGATGTAGAAATGCCCAGTGTCTGTCTTTCACCTAGTCGTGACGATAAAAACTGATAACAATTAAATTTAAAAATAATAAAACAATACAGTAATTAAAGGTCTAAAAGTCGTTTTGAAATTTACGTTATTTTTGTGCGGTGACGATGGATCGTTTCGCTTTTAATACAGACATATTGTAATTACAGTAATATTTATCTGGTAAATTTGAAGGTTTTTCGTGTAGCTTTATGCAACATGGAACTAAGATATTAAGTCTACATATAAGAATTTATAATTAAAATATAAAATTCTCTTATATAAGATGATGAAACCACTAAAGAAGAATAACGTCGCTTTTTCTCTGAATTTGGTTTCGAAACCAGATATATTACGTAGTATTTGCAAAACACACAGAATTATTCGACGCCTATCCATATAAAAAACGCAATATCAATTATCAACAAACACCGTAGGACTACTTATCGACTGTGCACCGTTCGGTCCGCCGTTGTTTAAACTGGTTTTCGTCGTGGAGTACGATGGCGGAAGCGTAGAAAGCGTCACTTGTTCACGTGATTGCCTGGGAATGTGCCACGTGACGTCTCCGACGTGTTTCCCCAGAACTTTTCCGACAGTTTGATAAATATTGCATTTGTTACGTTTTCGGTAATACCGTAACATTCTACGCCGATTTTAAGAACAAAATTGAGAGAAAAGCGATGTTATACTTCTTCCGTAGTAGTACGTAAAAAATTATTTAAAATAAAATTAAAATTGATATATTAAAAACATGTTGACTTTCCTTCATTGTCATCTTTCAACGTGCGTTTCATCAAAATGACTTCACTGCAAAGCACTCCACTTTGAAGGGAAAGTAGCATTTCACTAAAGGGAGACAACTGTTGTGTTTAGAAATTTACTTTGCTCGTGTGTTATGAGTTGCCATATGCCGTCGATTTTTATTTCGTTATTTAAATCTATTCTGCTGTATAAAGGAACTTTTGTACTCACGAAGTGTACCCGTAATATTCTTTTTAAATAATTTTCATACTGTTAGCTGACACTTCAAATCCGGTTCAGGGACAGTGCACTGCCATTGCAGAATTTGTGTAATTGTATTTAATTGCACATAAATGTTCTGTTGTTCTAGTTTTTCCTACACAACATTTTGTTATACAGCTGCATTTGAATTTATATATTAAACTATCCTTTAACATTATTCAATAAAGTAACATTTTATAATGAATAAAATTTTTTTTACCATTTGCCTGAAAAGTTTCTGTATTATAATAATAGCAAATTTATGTAAAATTTCTATAACTCTCTCGAATTTATGATTGTACATTTAGATTTCAGTTGCCTATTAAAAGTTAATATTTACATGTTATGCTTACACTCTGCCATGTCTCCCATTACATAATAGTCTTGTAATATTTTTTTATAAGTTTTCTTATGTAAACATGTTATATGTATCAAGTTTATAAAAACAAATTGTATAAGTATACGGGAATCGCATTAGAAGAGTTTAGAAGAGCCGTGGGTTGGCCACTGTGGTCATATATAGTAGTTTTCTGGTTGCAGATTAATACAGGATAAATTATATAGTAAATGGTTTAATTTTAAATGTTGATAATTTAGTGACTTAAGAAAAAATTTCTGCAATGAACAGTTTTAATCAATTGAAAATTTTAGTTTGCAAAATTGATGATAATTTATTGTAGTTTGCGTAGGGAAAGAGTAGAGTTGAGTCAGACTGAAATGGAAGGATCTGCATAGACGTGTGAAAGTCGACACATGGATCTGCTTTGGCTGATTTGTTTTTTACATTTGTAAAATGTTTTTAAACTAGCTTTATTGTGAATAATTTTATTGTTTTATTTTTTTATACACTTTATTGCTGTGATCCAAGTGTCATCTTTCTCGTGTCTGACAATCTGTCATGGATTCTTCCGGCTTGGGTTGACTCATGTCTATTCTTTCTCTGTGCAGAGTATGTAATTTAATATAATTTTAAGAAAGTCAAAGTTTTTGGCAAATAGAGAATTTATAGTAAATTAACACCAGAAGTAGTGGAATGCTATTTTTGGGCAAAAAGGGCAGTTGCCTGGAATCCCCATCAACAGGTAGACCTAAGCCAATCTTTTATAAACTCATTATTGTAGTAAGAATATTGAAATTATATCTCGGACCGTAGATTGTCGGTGTCGTGCAAGCACGGGATGCACTGGTGCAGAGCAGAACTTAGCCTGCCAGTGGTCGTGTTATAAAAGAAACAAAGATATTGGGGAATTTTTCCAAAGAACAATGTTTGAAAGACAACACTGTATGTGGGGCCCCTAATTGAAATTTACCTTTCGCTCCACCAAGATATAACGTGCCACTGACCAAACACTGAGTAATTCCTTTTAATTTTTTATATATTATATATTGGTGTATACCTTACATCTTTATGACCTTTAAAAATATTGAAAATAATAATTGATTAGAAACAACATCAATTAATAACACCTAAATAACAGTAGTCATTTATCTGTGATTTAATAGAAATGTAGTGTCAGGTAATCATTCATAACACATCCTATAAATAAGGTGGAACAACTTATTATTACAGATTGCTGTTGCAATAACATGATGTTAATTAAAATTATTATCAAATGATTATGACGAATTAATGCAGTAAGCATTTCTTGTGTTGAAATGACTCTAGAAGCCAACTAAAACATATCAAGTCTTTTTTTTTTAATGAATTCTTAATTAGTGATAGGTCTATTAATTGTAAACTGATAGAATATCCACGATCTGGCATAATGCAGTTGAATATTTTAAGTATTAATAGAAAAAAACTGCTTTTATTGTTGGGTTTGAAACATTTGTGGTTGCAATTTTAACAGAAGAGTTTTGTGACTATTTAAAACATATTTTGGAAATATTGATGAAGAAAGGAAATAGTATCAATTTATCAATGACCATCTTTGAAAGGTATATCATAATTTCATAATTATGCAGGAAAACTAGTGTTAAAGGTGGTATGTTTTTGTTAATTGACAGAAGGATTGCTAAACAGAATATAGTTATAAATGTAAATGAAAATATTTTAGCATAAGGAAGAATACTCAGTGTATAATCATGCGCTTTTTTATAGTTCCAGAAAATATTAGGTTTAATAACATGTGTTATCAATGCTTTCAGCTATTTCACACTAGCTTTTTTTAGATAGCAACAAGAAACAAAAATTAGAATGGAAACATTTTTTACAACAATTTGAGAACAACATACAAATTTCCAAATGAATACAAAATTTAAGTATTCAAAATGATTCCAGAAACACATAACTGAAATCGTATTAATTGAAGTCTACAGTAGCATAATTGGTATAGAATATTGTGAATGACAAGGTCAGTTCAGAGCATTCCATGCAGATGCATTGCTAATTATGCTACCTGGACCTCTGTTCACTCTTCATTTTAGATTAATTAATTCTAAACTTAGTAATGAAATTATGATTAATAAACTCAATATAAGATTGCAACTTAATCACATAACTTTAGTCTGTATTATGTATAGTAAATGAATTTGTACAAACAATCGGATTACTTAATTATCATAAAGTACAGATTGATTTTGCTCAACCACTGACCACACACCATCCAAAGAGTTTGGATGTTGAAAGTGTCTGTCTGCTACATTGGACCTTGGATCCCACACATTTGAGATATTTAGAGACTGTTGAAATTTACAAGGCTGTTAGGAACCTTTTAAGAGAGACTGATAGGAGTGTATGTTATGAACTTGCCTAGAACTTCCATTTTATGTATTTGTTTTTGTACTGTTTCCTTACAGACATTTTAAGTTTAAAGTTATCATTTTTAAATGTTTACATTTAAATTGGTAATGCTGTAGCAATGTGCATGATTGAAATTGTTTCAAATCTTTAAATTACATTTGTGTTTGATTGCTTAATATTGTTCTGTTTGTTATTCATTAATGCTATATGTAATGGTGATTGTTCAAAACAGATGATAATGTTTGTATCAGTTGATATTTTTTTTATTCCTTTTTCTAGTTTCAGGCATATTTGTTTGTATTTTCTTTTCATATAAACAGTTTATGAAGAACTGAACTTTTTACTAGCTTGATTTTTGAGTTTTTCATAAATGCATTTCAAATATGTCTACATATATTTAACAGAAATTTATAATACTAGAATTCTCTGATTTTGATGTTAGTATTCATGCATCATTGCTATTTGGAATTTAGATGTATAATGAATTTGGATACTTGTATCTAGTTGTATTAGTAAATTCTATGTATATATTATTTAGTAGTTATAATGTTGATTAGAAATTTGTGTTTCAGTTTTTAATTACAAGTAGAAACACAACTGAGAAAACTATATTGTCTTTTGATTGACAGCTGATAATAAGCTGTAAAAGCATCAATCTATCATTCTGACAGATCCGAGTTTGAATTTGTTTCAGAATCTCAAATTTTCATGAATAGTTTACTTACAAGTGGTGTGTCATATTTTTGGGTATCCAATTACAATGAAACTTGGTGAGTGTGTAGTGCTTAATACAAGAAACTTCTTGTCCAAATGATAAGATCCACTTTTTATGCACTTTTGAAAATTGAGTGTTTAGTTTATAAAGCTTTGGACTAAGCTATTTTTTGAAAGAAGTGATAGTTTAAATGATCAAGATGCTATGCACTGGAGCAATGGGATGTGGGTTTGAGATTTCACAATGTTACTGTTTCTTTTATGNAGTAATATGAGATTTGTCTATTTCAGATTGATAAAAACAAGATATTTGTCAAATTCAACAGCATTTTTCATAGTAAATATAACGGAGAAAGTTATGATGTAGAATTTCATTATAACAGGTAAGATTTTTAGATTATTATTATTATTATTATGTGTTAATGTACTAATGGTAGTTGGTTAAGCAGAAATGCCGTTAGTTGTGTGTTTTAAGTAATACGCATGTGTGGTAGAATCTGAGATTTGCATAATTTGATCCAGACACATTGACTCTGTCCATTACTAGACATTTTCCTTAGTACAGGTCTGATCAGACCTATACTGGGCATGAAAATGAGGCTTATTAGTGCCTTTACGCAGAAAGACTGACTGGAGAGTCAGAAATTCTTTGATGTCTCGTCAGGACTAACACCATTGAGTCTCGTTGACCCAGAAGCTGTGACGGCGAGGTTTGTTTTATAAGTAGGTCACACGAGCTGCCGCGTGTGCAGGTTATCGAATTCGGAATGGAGACTGTGAGACAACGGGTTGGAAGTGAATCATTCAGATTCTAATTAAACCAACAAATAACTTTATTTGAAAAAAAGGATATGATACACATTATATCGGAACAACTATACAGATATGATCTCGAGAGAGAGAGTTTACATTTGAGTGCTTGGGGTGATAAATACCTTGAAGAGGAGTTGGAGATTGGATGCTTGCTGGTCGAAAAGGAGAAAGTTCCAGATGATAGTTGTTAGTCTTAGTTCAGAGGTCAACGGTTGATAGTATGATTGCAGAGCGAGAAGGATGACTTACCCATAGAGATACTTAAAATGATATATCCAATGAATGTATTTAAATGTATCTGAAATTTAAGGCACAGGGAAAACGAGTGGCCAGTTGCGGAACTAGCAAAGACTACGATAGTTGGTAGCTAGTTGTTATATTGAAACAATGAAATTGGGACAGCAGATCACAAGATCGTGTGAAAGCGTCTTTATTCACGCTGAGAACTTAAAAGAAGATATGCTCCCAGGTGTGAAAGTTGACAAATAGTTGACAAAGTTGATGTTACAATGTTAAATTGTTTATGTTGAAGTTGGGATTCCCAGAATAAAATAATAGGAATTAAAAAATAGTGTGTTAATATTAGTTGTATAATGAATTATTCTTTATTTCAGAATGATCATGAGAAGATATCATCACGCTATTGAAGAGGCATTAAACCTTCCTGAAAATGGTGAGTGATATATTACATTGGGGAAGGGAATTGGGAAGATCTATCTTATTATAATCGTTATTGATATTTCTTTTTTAGTTCTCTTTCCAAGTAAAATAGTCTGTAAAACACCTCAAGTTCATCTTTTAGAAACTGAGGCATCAACACCTGCAACTTCTTGTACACAGAAAGGAGAATTGGAAAAGAAGGAATATAAAAATATAAATTCCATTCATCGTAACGGTAACATCACATTCTGCTGTCCCGTGGTAAAGATGGAAGTCCAGTTGCCAAATAACAGAAAGTCGGTGACAATTAAGTGGCATAACAAGTCTCTGAACGATCGACAGAAAATTGCAGTGAAAAGAGTGTTGGACGGAACTTGCCGACCCATGCCTTACGTTATATTTGGACCTCCGGGAACGGGTAAAACAAAGACTGTTGTAGAATGTATTGTTCAAATATTCAGCCGTGTGAAGTCTAGTAGAATTTTAGTCTGTACTCCGTCAAATAGTGCTGCAGATGTAATCGTAAGTGAAAGATTAATTTCAAAAAGTAAAATTTATATCCGAAACTTTTATGTAATCTCTTTTCTACACGTTAAAATATTAGGTACAACGTCTGGTGGAAAGTAAGTTATTTGCTGAAGCCGACCTCGTTAGACTCAATGCCTTCCATAATTCCAAAAAGGTTTGTTGTTATATCATTTGAATAAGGATGATGCCGTAGCGTGTCTCTGTAATGATGACGATTACTTTCAGGTTATGCCAGACGACGTTAAGCCATTCTGTAAAGACGTAGACAAAATGTCTTTGATTTCTAGTCATCGTATTATCGTTTGTACTTGTGTAACTGCTGGAAAATTTTATAGTCTAGGTTTGACAGTAGACCATTTCACTCATTTGTTTTTAGATGAGGTAATTAGAGTTTTGAATTTCTTATTTAATAACACTGTTTATTTCAATGAATGTAAGAGTAAGTGTTTTCTGTTTGCATAAAATGAGTTTACTCATTGTTTATTTTCTTATTTGTAGGCCGGACAGGCTACCGAACCAGAATCGATGTTAGCGATTGAATTAGTTGCAACAGGCAACGGACAGGTAACCATTTTTTTTCTACGATACATGAAATCAAATTTGGGATCCCTTAGTGTTTCTTTATCACACATATTGGAAGGCCCACAATGAGAAAGTCATATTTTTGTAATTTTCTAGGTTGTCCTAGCTGGAGATCCTCAACAGCTCGGACCGGTCGTACACTCCTACAACTCTAAAGAAAATGGACTTAAGGTTTCATTTCTAGAAAGGATAATGGCTCTGCCTCTGTATCAGAGAAATCCAGAAAAGTATCGACAAGGAAACTATAATCCATTACTAGTACGATAATTACTTTCATAATCACATCTTGAATTAGAAAAGTACCAAAGGCTCACATTTATAACTTTTTACTTTTGTTTTTATAGATAACTAAACTAGTAGAAAATTATAGATCCCATTCTTGCATTATTTCGTTATCATCGCAAATTTTCTACGACTCCGAACTCGTCTGTTCTGCCCCCAAAAGTTTACGGGACACGTTTTGCAAGTGGGAAGGATTACCAAACAGGTCGTTTCCTATGATATTCTGCGGAGTCAGGGTAAGTCGAAGTTGTCATTAAAAATTATTTTATATTCAGAATTTTAAAAGTTTATGTATGAATAGGGTGAAAATCTTTGGGATAGCGACAGTCCTTCTTGGTTTAATCTGTACGAGGTCCAGCAAATAATTAAATATTTAAAAAGTTTATATGCTTTGGGAATTTCGCCCAACGACATCGGTATCATCACTCCATATCGCAAACAGGTAGGTTGGAGAATAACTTAAAGAGATATAAACCTACGGTAGTATGATAAGAAAAATTACATTTAAATTTCCCATATAAGAATGATTTTTAAATGTTATCTAATGGAAATTTTAACTTGATGATGAGATCAATATGATCTTTTTATGGGGTAGTCATACTTGGATGAAAAGAAATTGTTATAAAAAAACATTGTGTCTGCTGGAGCAAAATAGCAGAACAAAACAGTTTCTATAGTGTTGAAAGCAAGATAAAAATTTTTTATTTATAAATACAAACCTGTTCTAGTTATTGTATGAAGAAATTTGCATAAAATATTTTAATTCTACATTATTTTAGGTGGGGAAAATCAAACATATGATAAACATGAATCGAATTGAAATGTGCCAAGTGGGTTCTGTAGAAGAATTTCAAGGCCAGGAGAGATTGGTTATAATTATTTCTACGGTAATTGTTGTTCTTCGTTTTGTTTAATTTTAATGTCGATAGTCCTTTTCTCACAAATTCATTTTTAACACCACAGGTTCGAAGTTCTAAAGATCAGCTGAACGCCAGACGCAACTTAGGTTTCCTGACCGATCCGAAAAGGTTTAATGTCGCAATTACCAGAGCACAAGCCCTGCTCATCGTGATTGGAGATCCTTATCTCCTGTGTCACGTAAGTAATTTTTTTAGTTAATTTATCGACTTTGCTTCTAAACTGTAACAATTGTTTGTTTGCATTGTTAGGATAAACACTGGAGGAAATTAATCAGTTATTGTTTGAATCAGAAATCGTACTGTGGATCGGCAATCTCCCTGGCAAAAATACAAGATTTGTCTTCAGAAGAATAATGAACTGTAGAACTATAGTGTTTTAATGCTCATTCTAGATGTACAGTTTTATCTGTAAATAATGATTTTAGTCTACCTTTTATATAATGTGCATATGTAAACAAATGAACTGAATGAATGTGTATTTTTAATACATTTATATGGATTTAGCAGTGAAATATAAATTTGTTTTTTACCTTAACGAGGTGATTACAGGCGATATATGATTTGGATGCAATGAGGTGATACAACATTTTCCTTTAGAAGAATAATGAACTATAGGACTATAGTTTTTTATTAATTAATATTGTTGATTTTAGTTGTACAGTTTTATCTGTAAATAATGATTTTAGTTTAACTTTTTTATAATGTGCATATGTAAATTTTGTAAAAATCATGTAGTCAAATGAACTGAATGAGTATGTATTTTTAATACATTTATATGTATTGATCAGTGAAATATAAATTTGTTTTATATCTGTAATGAGGTGATTACTTTTATGCTAAAAAATTAGATTTTACATTAAACATAAAATTAACATTTTACCATAAACAAAGCATATTTATAAAGAATAATAGTGCAAGGCAGTAAGCCATAAAATCAAAATATTATTTCTGTACATGGACTACGAAAGTGTTTGTGTGTTCTGATAAGTAAGTATTATCAGACCTGTAGAGCATGTGGTCTGATAAGGGTGTGTTTGGCTCTATTTTTTACTGTTTCATCCAATCAACAAAACAATACTAAATGCTTGATTTTGGGAATAAAAGGTAGAATAAATGCTATGACAGTTTTTTTTAATTGAAATTTACACTTAATTTTCTTAATAACATTTAGAGGCCCATCTATTGGCAGACAATGTCTTTGGCAAGAAAATTGTTTGCCAATGCTTTCATGTGTTGGTGAAAGTTAATTGACATAATTGGGATCTGAAAACAAGTGCATTTTGTTAGCAGAAGCAGTTTGAGGAGAAATGTCTTGGTGCACGGTATCCTGCAGTGGAGTTTTTGGATCATTTTTCCTTGAAGACAAAAAGTTAGTCAACATGCTGGACTCATTTTGTATTTTTCAAATCAGAAGAAATGCAGCCCAGTGTGTTTTCTAGCAATACAAAACATCACCTGAGATTACACATCAGCAAATCTTAGATAGGATACCCAATTGATGAAAAGTTGAAATGGTTCTATTCTTTGGCCTCATCTCTGGATTTTTTGGTGGTATACTTAAAGGAACAGGATGTATTCAAAATTACTGTTACTGACATTGCAGAATTGAAACCTCAGATGGGAGAGAGAAAATAATGCTTTCATATAAAGTTATGCTTGAAAAACTTGAAAGAAATCAATTGCAGATTGGATATTTTGTGTGCTACAGAAGGTGCCCACAAGAAATTTTACTAAATTTTGTTAGATGCTCATGAGTTTGTGACAAAAGAATTCTTTGAGTTGCTACATTCACTCAAAAATCATTTTCTTAATCTGTTATGATTTGTTTAACTAAAAATGTTAAACTGAGAATAAATTGTAGCCTCTCTGCTATACATGGTGTTTCATTGGTGGCATTCAGTAGTTTTTTTAATGGAAATGATTAGAGATAGGAAAAACTAATGACCAAGTTTATAGAGCAGGCAGGGAGACAATTTTTGGTGACCACAGATGACCCTGAAAATCAGCAGTTTATGAGATTCAAAAGATAATATGGTTTGTTTAAATTAATACAGATGGTATGCAACAAAATAAATACCGGGTACCTTTTATAATTTTCTTAAACCTAATGTGAGATCTGCTGGGGGTACTAATCCGTTAGGAAGTTAGTATCACTTAATTGGCTCTATTCTGTGAGAATAGTTCTCGGTCGTCAACAAGAATGGTTTTCCTATTTAATAGGAAATTGAGTGGCGGAGGGTCTTATAGTTAAGTTAGAATTTAGAACAGAAGTTGGTGATGGTGAATTCACCTTCTTCCTTATGTCAGGGTCCTGACACCTGTTTATCTACTTCTCGTAATGCGGATAAACACGTGAAATTTATGCCGTAGATCTGATTCAGGAAATAATAATACCGAGACATCTCTTAAATTAACAAAGTATGTAGAATTTAATAAACAAATAAACAATATTACTACAGAATAAGTAATAATCAATTAATTCATAACGGTCAATCAAAGAACGACTAATCAATATCAATCGCGACAGGAAGAAAATCTATTCTTAGTCTATACCCGAGTCGAGAGAGAAACGTATTCTCAAACTATACATTTACGAGAGAGAGAGAGCTCACAATTTAGTGTTAAACATACGACCTGTTTACTTGGCAGTGTCATCTTCTTATTCGTGAAGGTACTTCATTGATAACTTAGGATTAACTTGACAGGAGATGACTATAGTGTTGGTCTGCTGGCATATCGGTGTGGAGTCCTTTCACTTTCCGATCTACGGATGAACTCTTAAGGGCGTTGGCCTTAGAGAACACTTCTGTGGAGTCTTGTCACTTTCAGAACTGTCGACGAACTTCAAAGGGAGATGGCCTTAGAGAGCGAATATGTGGAGTCCCAACTCTTTCAGGTCTGCCGATGAACTCCTCAGGGCGTTGGCCTTAAGGAGACAATATGGAAACTTCTTTCTACTATGAGATCTCCTGACGAACTCCTTGAATCCACTGAACTTCGCCGTTATCTTTCCATTTACGACCAATCATCGTGTTCGGATTTTCCCACGTGGATGGATGGGAGGGGGATGAAATGAGGGGTAACCAGTTCCCACTGAAGTGAGATTTTTAGGAGATAATGGGAAACAGAGGATGTTCTAACTTCCATGGAAGGAAGTGACTCTCCTATCTGTTTTCCCATGCTAGAAAACATTATTTCTCTCACCCAAAACGAAAGAATATTTTAGGACAAAACTTTAACATTATTTTTAAATTATTAATTTAGACTCAGGGGCTATTCAGATCTCACACTAATCATGTTAGATATTGATCAATTTTGTATAAAAAAAAATGATTTTCTTTTTTCCTGAATGTTGCTATGCTGGAAACTAAGTTTATCAGTTTATCAAAACTCTTTACAAGACAGAAAAATCAAGCAATGAGTTGCTTAACTTTCCCAGCAACATTTAAAACTGTGTGTGTTGCACCATCTTTTAAAATATTAAAACATCATCTTTTTAACTATTATAAAATTTACAAAACCTTTATTTTGAGGGTAGATCCCTACCCTCAAAATAAAAATTTATATAAAAATAAAAATTAAATATATAAAAAATTGGGCTTTATAAAGAAATTGTAAATGGTAGTGAGTAAAATCGTCATTAAGACCGACTGACCATGCTCGAGATATGATACACAACCCCCTTTTATCTCTCCACCATTAACTAACAAAAATTTAATAGCATCAATTCCCCTAATAAATGAACATCCATGCATAATTTCAGAAATTTTCGACAAAAAGCACAGGAGTTATTACAGGAGCTTCGAATGGTGATCAAAATCATGCCCCCCACAATCTAACATCCATAGATTAAAAAATTAGTTTTTTTTTCTTTCTATGGGTGTTAGTGTGTGGGGGGCATGATTTTGTTCACAGCTTAATAATGCTTGTTCTTTTTTGTTGAAAATTTCTGAAATTATGCAGGGAGGTTTATTAGAGAAATTGATGCTATTAAATTTTGGTGATTGAAGGTCTAGGGCAGGAGTCGGTAACCTTTTTCCTGTAAAGAGCCATTTTAGGAATTATATTTACCAAAATAGTACTTAGAGCCACAAGTCAGCAACTTGAATTACGAAATATGCATTCTTGAAAATTGAGCCTAAAATGCTTTTTTTTTGGTTAAAATGGGTTTCTTTGTGTTTTGCTTACAGGTGCTGTAATAGAATACATTGCAATTAAATTATTTATTATCAATGTTACAAACGTCGTATGATAAAATATCAGTGGCGTGCAGTGACATTTGATGATAGAGAAGCTGTTTGTGTAAAAAGCCGATTTCCAGGGGCAATCAGTTACATGCACATCAGTGATGGTCTGGGGTCCATTTATATCATTTGTTCAATAAGCCAGTAAAAACTGCAGACTTTTCTAAATGTATTTTTAATATCGCAATTCCATTCCGAATCGCTAGCCACAATATAAGGGCTACAATTAAAAAAATAATAAAAACTTACTTGGCGAAATAAAATGTGGTAGATTTACTGGTAACATACCCGATACAAAAGATTCTTCAAATGTATGAATATACTCTTAAAGAAAATTATAATTAAATATAGCTTTGTAAAGAAATGTACATAAAAATAACATAAAATATCCTTTACTTTTTAAACCTTAAAACAATCCACTTAGTCAAATAGCTCCCTACCAGTGGCTAATGGATGAAATCAGAGACAGTTGCAGTGCGTGCATACATGCAGACTGACAAATCCCCAGGGTGCCGATACCAGTCAATGTCAAATACCTCTTTTGTGGTATAACTAGTACAGTATATCTCAAAGGACATGACAGGGTTGTTGTAAATTTCAAATATTTCTCACCATAGCTGTAAAAATCTAAATATCTTAAACTTAAATTAATATTGTCTGACGTTTGTTTTAGGTGTCCACGGCAATTTCCAAAATTTACAACTTTTCAGTCACTCTCATTGAACTGGAAAAATTACTGTCTTTATTACATCTAATATTACGAAGAAATCAGTCTCCAATGTATTCGCTAGAGATTGGTTCCAATAAGCTTTCGTTTAAGTAAAATTCTGGCTTTTTCAGCAGGGTTTTATTTATAAGTTGAAACCAGTTACTTCGTACTTGAATATTTGTAGTGTTGGAAAAGAAGTGGAAAGACAATTTTTTATGATAACGGATACATTGATGATGATGGTGATGATTATGTAGTCTATCATAAATTTAAGGAAAATTCTAGGGCTTTTTTGTGCCTTGTGCATCTCATTCATTACATTTAGTTGTAAATAATGCTGCCAAAGTAACAGTTAATTTTTTTAACATTGTAACGTTTTTTCTGCATCCCTTTATAGATGGGACATACTAAATGGTAATATCACTAGTTTAACATTGAAATCTGTAAGTAATACAAGATGGGAGAGCAGAATAAATATATCAAATATTTTAATGGATTTTTTTTAAAACTCCTGTTAACTATACAGAATTATTATAAAAACATACCAGAAAACTCCTGTCAGTTGGGTTAAGTTATAAATCTACTCATGATTCACATGATGGGGCAAGGGTGGCCAAATATCTAGCAGGCAAACGGCTAAGAGTCCTGGATAGAATCATTGGAAGCATTATGGTGTGTAGCATCCACCAGCTAAATCACAAGGTTGGTGCTCTGTAAAGCGCATGAGCAAATGTGTATAATCTGGCTGCTTTACACCATTCAGATATTTTTGCCGTGGAAGCTATCACCTATTTGACAATATAGTACTTCCATTCCACCAGTGATATTTGAATATACAATAACAATCTTATCGTTTTTTTCAAATGTAGTATATAAATTTGTAATAAGATACATAATGCAGTTATAATAAAAAATTATTTTTAATTAATTCAAAGTACATATGTCAAAATATGAAAGTAATTGCACAATATGTATTTATATTTTAGGGAATACAAAGGAAGCAGCACTTTCACCTCTTCCAAGAACAGCACGCCACTGACTAGAAGTGTGTTTTCCAAGTGGAATTTTCCTTGTTTCTACTAATTCATTTTGATTCTTCACTTTTTATATCTATATCTATATTATCTATACTAATATTATAAAGAGGTAATGTTTGTAAGTAAGTTCGTATGTAGCGGGTAATCTTCGAAATTACTCATCCGATTTCAAAAATTCTTTCACCAATATTTAGAATGGAACTTCAGGGTGGACATAGGCTGTATATTATTCCATTAAACATTCATATAAATTAAAAGATATCATCTAGGTTANCCCCCCTATAATTACGGTCCCTATAATTACGATTCCTATAAAACTACGAAAAAATATACGTATTTTGGAAATGTTGAGTCGGATTAGTGTAGAATCGATTAATTTTATGAAAGAAAACCTTTCAATCAGCCGTAGTCTGTAAACTTGACACGTGTCGAGCTGTGATTGGAACGACTTGTAAGAAATCGGATTCCTAATAAATTGGAACGTATCTATATCTTATAGGGGGGTCGACTGTAGAAGTGTTTTAGATTACTGACTGGTTATTTTATAAACTACACAAAGGTAATTAAATCTTTTTCTAAGTGCTTTGCTCCGTTTAGAAAGGTATGATGGACAATTTGAAAACAAACTGAGCACTGTATTCTTAGTATGTCAATTTTATAAGGAACATTGATGATTTCTTTTCCATCTTTATATACTCTCCAAGGACAAAGAATTTGATGCAGATCAAAACGTTTTTCACAAGAATCGTAGCATTCAGTGTTGTTGATCTGCATGCAGTATTGCTCGTTTCCATTTTTTAATCAATTACAAATCTTTTAGTGCCAAAATACATTTACTATTTATTTCTTTGGGTAATAATTGCCTTTGCAATTATGCACACATCATTTTAAATGACATAATTTTGTAAGAATTTCTTAAAAACATTGTCAAACAAGGCATTAGTAAATGGCAAATGATACAAAATGGAATTCATGATAAGATTAACAAGCTTTAGCCAGTAAAACAATAGGGGTGGTATCACCTGTATTCTTACACCATGGTTCGAAACTATATCATCTAGCTCCAGCACTTAGCATCTTATTCACCTGGCTATTGCCACTCTGGGACATGAAACTTCAGACTTATAAGCTAAACACTAAATTTTCAAAGGCCTAATTTTTGTAAATGCTTGAGAAGTGGGTCCTATTATTTGGCTGTATGCTCACCAAGTTTCATTTGAATCGAAGACCCGAACATCTGACCATCCCCTTGTTAGCAATAGGATTCATTTTTGAATAACTTTTTAATGAATAACTCCTAATAACACATTTGATCACAAGGTTTAAACAGTATTTCACAGGTTCTGCCATGTCAAAATTTCTGTTTTAGTCTACCGAAAAAAAAAAAAAGTGAAAGAGTCATCCCAAAAAATTCCCCAAAATTTCTGTCCATAAAAAAATTCCAATCTGGAAATGCTGGGTGGCATTGCACAAAACTGCCTTCAGTTCTTGACGTCACTTCCTACCTTTCTTCACAAACTTGCCACGTGACATCATGAAATTGCTAATGTGGGTGCACGAGACTCCCATTGTATGGAACTCGATATTTTGCTGTTTTTCCTGAAGTGTGATTTGTGATTCAATCTGATGCTAAATGTGAAACAAGTGGACTAGGATTTTATAGCCACTTTAATAAAAATATTGCCATGTGGCAATTTTGGTGCTATGCAGTGCAACCCTTGAAATATATCAAGATATGAATTTATTAGCTAATAATAATAAAAAATTAAACTATAATTTCCAATAAAGGCACAACTATTGAATTGTTTCTGTTGTATAAATGTTTATAAAGCTTAATTCTTACTCATTTTCTAGTATGGAATCTTTATTTATATTGTTAGATATAAATAAAGAAATAATTTTATTTGAAAACAGTTATTTTGACCTTATAACAGCTCTAGTAATTTTAACATCTTCTAAAGGACGATCACTACTATCAGTTGCAATCATTCCCATTCTTTGAACAACCTGCATTCCATTAGAAACTCTTCCGAATATCGCATGCTTTCCGTCAAGCCATTGTGTTGGTGCCAGCGTGATAAAAAATTGGCTTCCATTTGTGTTTGGACCTGCATTTGCCATTGATATAACTCCTGCACCTTAAAAAAAAAATGAAGATATTGTAAGACAATAAATAACAATACTAATTGTATTGACTAGATATATTTACCTGTATGCTTTAAATCTGGATGAATTTCATCATCAAAATATTTACCATAAATAGATGTTCCTCCCCTACCTATCAAACATTCAACTTTGTTAATTTTATTTGAAAATTTTAAAAATGTCAAAATGTGCAGTAAAATATTTTTTAAAAGAATAATAATAATAATACAAAATAATATTTTATTATTTATGTAAATTCAGAAATAATATAAAACTTATTGTTACAAGTAGAAATTATTAAAATATTCAAAGAATCATTTCATTAAACAAACAGATTAGTCAGCACACAGAGATTGCACTTGGTCAATATTAACTGTGCTTATTTTAGGAAAGACAACAGAAAGACAAAGAAAATCTATAAGAAAAAACATCAATCAAACTGCCAAAAGGATGACCCAAAGGATTGAAGAAAGACAGTCAAGGACAGAAGTGAATGAAAGTGGTATTTATGGCCAAGAACCAGAGAGATTCATAATGCTGAAGAATATTGAAAGCTGTCAAAAGATAAACGATAGAGTTTATGATGTGGTGTCAGTTCTATTATCAATTGTTATTGTTACTTTTTATTAAGAGGAAATCATGTGTTTCATAAATATAAAAGTGTGAGACATAAAATTTATCATTATCGAATATTTCAAAGATAGTGAAAACCTGATGTCGCAATATGACACGTTTCTGAATGTATGTAGTGATTATACAGAAAAATAGTATAGTATAATATATGTAAAAACATTTTGCAATAAATATATTTTTAAAATTATCTTTAGAACGTTTTTTTTATACCAAATGGATCTTACTTTCTAGACACTCTTTATACAAATATATGAAGTACTTTAAAGAAAAATTAACTTGTGAACACTAAGTTTTTGCTCTATGGAGAACTTATCATACACTATTCATGTTATCAGAGTAATCACACAGAAGTAGGTAGACACAGGTTTATTATGACAATAGTATGTATTTTGAACAGATTGTCTGGCCTTCTTCAGCCATATTTGTTACAATTTGGTGGGTATACAGGTGTCTACAAAAATACACATGGGTTTTTGTATTTGTGTTTATGATTAAAATAATACAAATAACATACATAAAAGAAACATTCTATTTATTTTGTTGCTGATGCATGGATGACTTCATTTTCGGAATTTTTCACAGTCATTATATTGTTTTTCGTACAAATAGCAACCAGAGATTAAAATTGTTGCTAATGAAATTAATTGTGAAGTAAATACTATGGTAAATGAATGTAATACAAAGTTATAAACAAGATTACAGTTAAAAAAGAAAGAACTGTTTTAAGAAAGGTTACATATGTTTTTGCTGACAGTTAGCTTGTATAAGCAATGTTCTCTACTACAGAAGTGATGCTACTATAGGGTGTTATCAGAATGTTTCTTAGTGCTCATAGTTTCATATTGTAATGTAAGGACAAAAAGCAATTCATCAACCAAAGAATTAACTATTTTGGAAATGCTAAATGCAACAAAAAACTTTTTTGAATTCCTAAATTACATTAGAAACATTATGGTATATATTTTTAAGATTATAAATATATACCATAAACTCATTTGAAGAGATCAGTTCTTATATATATAAGAACTGATCTCTTCAAATGAGTTATATATATATGAAACAATCTTCTTAGTTTTGTACTTAATATCCAACAAAATATGTCTATGTGCCATAAATCCAAAGTAGAGTTTATTGATAAGATATTATATAAATGTCAAACATTTATTTCTATTGTTTACAGATATACTCAGATTTGTCTATTTTGTTCTTAAGAAAAAGATTGGTACATATGTATACAGGTTATTTATTTAATTAATTCCAATTTACATGAATACACTACTGTAGAATTCCAAAGGTCTGGAATCAACTTTCAAAAATATTAAATACAATAGGAAAATACTGGACTTAGATATAATTACCAGTTATAATGTATTTAAAAGAAGAAAATTAGTATTTATTAAAACATTTTAAAACAGAATAATTATAAACAAAATTTACACAATTTTTATTTACCTGTGCCAGTTGGATCACCACCTTGAATCATAAAATCAGGAATGATCCTATGAAATTTTACTCCATTATAATAGCCTCTCTTTGCAAGTTCTGCAAAATTTCTACAAGTATTTGGAGCATGTTTCCAATATAATTCAATAACTATTTCTCCCATTCTAGAATTAAAAATATATATAATTGAGAAGCATTTTAATTATTAAATTTAAAAAATAAATATAATACAAAAAATGTAAAGACTAATTCAATCTCTTATATACAATTAAAGATAAAATAAAACAGAATATAGAAAATTTTTAAAATAAAATCTGATTATAAAACCAAATCAAAGGCAAAGCAATTATAAAAGAATTATATTATGCGCTAATACATTAAAACACATATTTGCTATCTTATTGTCAATAATACTTTTAATTTTACTCTTACCAATTTATTTCTTATGATTAAATTAATTACAAAACCTAATAAGTATCAGTGCAAGATCTTAAAAGAAACAAACCTAAATCATATTACTAATAAAATAATCAAGCAGGATTTATCATTGGGTTACTGTAATTAAGTATACAGTATAATTGTAATCACATGCTTAATTAGCCAAAATGTAACCCAATAATAAAGTTAGCTTGATTATATATCAGTATAAGAATTACTTTTCAGGATTACAATTATTATGATAAGCAACTCTTGGAATTCAAAAATTCAAATAAACCAGCAATGAGTTACTCAACTTTCCCAGCAACATTTAAAATTTTGATGGTGCTATCTGTTAAAAATATCATATTTTACCGTAAGTAACAGATATGTATTACATCAATGGTGGGGTTTTCTTTATATTCTTTTAAAAGGTCAATTTTTCAAAGAAAATATTTCCTCAAAAAATTGAGAGAGTAGGGATGAGTTTTATAAAAAAAAATTGTAAATGCTAATAACCAGTAAAATAACCATTAAGTCTAACCATACTGGAGGTAAATACAACCCCCACTGTCTCCTCATCCCTCAACCTTTAACCATTTAATAGCATCAATCCCTGTAATAAACAAACCTTCATGCAAAATTTCAGTAATTTGACAAAAAACACAGGAATTATTAATTATTATTAAATACAGTAAAACTTCTCTAACTCAAACATCTGTAACTCATTCCATTAGTTACAGTGAACATTTTGCTGAAAGGCGCTACACAAACTGTTTAAAACGAAAAAAAAAAAAGTATATCAAAGATTCTTTATATTCGCGTTTTTCATGAACTATAGAGAGTGCCACATTTTTACAAAATGGCTACTTTATCTGGGTCGCTTGTAATTAGTAATGTAAAATTAATCATATATTACTGTCCGATATAATGATATTTGTTGCCTGTAGCTGTTTATCGAGAAATTTTATAGGAGAACAATTATTGTTAGCGGGACACGTCATTATGTGGTATCGAAACAAATGAGTGTTAAAAAACATCAGCTTTGACATTGTCCCATCAGGGCCAGATTTACAAGTAAAAAGCCTCAACTTTCTAGGAACCTCAAACATTTGTACAAAAAAAAATTGATGTCAGATTTTGTAATAAGCATTTTTTTACAAACTGACAAAATATACTTCACTGTTTATTCTGTGTAGTATTTCATTAATTTTTTTCTAAGAATTAACATATGATCTTTAAAAAATTGATGAAACCAATTTTAAAAAAAAATTTTTTAATGGAATGGGTATAAAAATTTAATTAAATTCAGTTATAAAACAGAAGACTAGTGAAACATCATGTCCTTTTCTTCCAATATCCGTATTGAATCAGAGTCATAGTCTGATTTAATTCTTTTCCTTTTATGATTGTGAAGGGTTGGTAAGGGGCCTTAAAAAGTTCAGCTTAGGGCTTCGAAATGCTTAAATCCGACCCTGTGTCCTATACAAAATGACTGGCATTTTAAACTTTAACAAAATATGTTTTAAAATTGACAGCATAACTTGTTCGTGTAAAGCTGGACAATCGGGAAACTGCCAATTCTGAACAGTTTAATCCAATCTTTCAGAATTCAGAGCTCATAAATGTAACCGATCAATTTCCGAATAATCATCTGTTTTTCCCGTTTTTCGAGTGGGAACAGACGAAAACTTATATTAGGCTCTCGTAAGGCTTTAAAATTGCAATTTGGAATCAACAGTAAGCGTTGCTTTTTCTATCGCTTTTCGTCTTTACTGCTGATAACAGACAAGAATGAATCAAACGACCCAGATAGAATAGTTTTGTTTTTAAACATCAGAGGGCGAGCATCCGGTGAAAAATGAGAATAATGCAAGATACAAATATATTCAGAATTGGTATTTTTCAGTCTATTGTTTTCTAACTGGAAGTGTTTTCCTGCTCCCTGGAGCTTCAAGTTAGAGTAGTTTTACTGTAGTTTCATATTATAGATTGCAATAAAAGTTTTAAAATAATGAAAATGCAAATTAATTACATATTTAATTACTCACGTTGTTTCTAAAACCACATGAGGAGGCTGCCATGATTTATCCGGAATTGCCGCCATTTCGACGATAATACACCTAGTGGTTAAAATAGGAACTAATCACTTTAGATTTTATTATTTTTTTTCCGCGACCATCGACATCATTTTAGATATAACTTAAGAGTAATTAATTTCTTAATTAAGATATCTAAACCGTTTTGATTTGATATATAATCATAATTTTATATAAAGATATTTTATTGCGTGACTCATGGCATAAAATTAAGTTAAAAATATTCATTTTCGTTCCACAAAATCCGCTTTAAATTTTAAGCATAAAAATATTCCCCCTTCAAACATATAAACCATAAAAAAATATTAAATCATAATAAATAAATTATGATTATACTGTACTACATTTAAATATTCAGTTGCACTTGATAAACTACAAGATTTACATTAATATTCTTGAGGAGAAAGTAAACGATCAAAGAAATGAATGAGTGCACTTGGCACTATACAAAATATCTATATTAAACAATAAATTAATAAAAACGCTTAATAATTAATCGAATCGCCAATTTGGTTAAAGAAAGTATTGTTCATATACTTTCAATCTTGTTACTATATATTATGCAGGTACTTACTCCACCCTCTAGCATGACGATCCCACGCCCGTAACTCTTATTAAGTGCGACATTGGGAGAAACTACACATTTCCTCCTCATGGCATCGATTAGCTTGTCCTCATTTTACTCTCCCTAATACGTGCTCTTGTTAACAAATCAGTAACAAGCATGCTTTTTCTACAGTTGGTGCTTCTCAGCGTGTTGTTGTCATCAGATGCGGCAATATCCGTACGAAGCAGATATGCTTTTTCTACCTATCGCGAGGGAAAATTTCTGAAGACCAGAAATATCTTGGCAGAACATCGAGGTTTTACCATGGTTCAATGTTTGATATCTTGTATTAAAACTCCGAAATGTATGTCATTTAATTTTGGCAAGAATATCTGTCAGATCTTGGGCACTCATCTTTGTGAAAGGGCTGGAAAACGTTTGACACCTTCAGAAGGATTTTCTTATTATGATGTTGCGACTGTTGACCAAACTGAGGTAGGTGTTTACATTCACTGATGTTATTTACTTTCAATTTTTGCGTTTTACAGTGTCGCTTTTATGAATTTAATATTAAAGATAAACAAATCTGGTTGGAATTTAATTCTCTACGTTAAGAAACGCACGGAACATAGTAACAGTATAAAATAATAATCATAAACAGAAGTTACCTAATCTCATTTCGGATTAAAAATAATTCGAATTAAGGAGCATATTTAAGATCTATATATACAGTTATTATTGGAAAATATGCCTAACAAACTGGAAACGGCATAGAAACAAAATGGCAGCTGAATGACTTATAATTGACCACGTTTTTGGCAATCAAGAGAAAGAAGGGAGGTGGGAAGACAGCGTACAAACAAAATGGCAGACAAATGACTGCCAAAAACTTGGTCAATTATAAATCAAGAGAAAGAAGGGGCGTGGAAAACCCAATAAGTGGAATGACCTTTAAAGCCGAGACTAGCAAAATTGCTTAATCCTTGAATGATCCACGAAGGACATGCCGGATGGCCGAGCAGTTAAGATTGCAGCTACTACTTGGGGGGACCCGGATCGAAAACTCCAGGAATTTTTCGGGGGTGATCTGTTTGGATAAGTCGGCTCCCGTCCTTCATCACTTTGCCCCCCCGTTGTGAGACTGGCCGAACCCTTAATAGCCTTGCTTAAAAAGTCCTCTTAGTCGAAAAGATAAAAAATAAGTCAAATACATTACATATAATCAGCCATTTTAAAACAATAAGCAGTTCTATAGGTCTTTTACCGTTGTAATTATCGGCAAAACATTTTTTTCATTCGTAAAAATCAAATTATATATTAGAAATGTTCCACTTTCCACGCTTAACGAGTTACGAAATTGTTTGTTTTTTGTTTCTTGGTATATTGTGATCAATAACGATCAATCTGATTAAGGTATACAGTAACAGTAAATCAATTTTTAATCATGAAAATAGTTTTTTCACAGAAAAATAGCCTACTTTTGTAAGTGGAAATGCGATGTTATACTTTGTACAAGTACATTACTGGCTAAAATTGAAATCTTAAAACATTTTTTGTCGCCCATTGTCTAATATGTTTTTCATTAACAAACTAAAAGGGTGACGGTAGAGTGATTCTGTCAGTGTTCATGAATTAGTAATTTCGAAATATTTAGAAGTTCTGAGCACGTTTATCTAATTTCTCACACGTATTCTTATTTGTCAAAATTTGAGTTATTTACGATAGGATTATTATAAAATGTGATAAAATTATTTAAATATAAACTTTGTTCGAAAAGTCGCAATACATTATTATACTAAATGTCATTCAGAATTAGTAGAGAGATTATAGTATGACTTTTTAATGATTAATCTTATCAAAATTAAATTTTAAAAATACAGCTAAAATTAGACAAATCTTAATAATTCCTAAACTGTTTCCATCTTGTGGGAACTAAGAATAGGGTGATATATGTCCTAATTTGTCCAGGACTGTCCCAATTATTCCTGACCCTCAAAAAAAATAATAATAATAAATAATAAAATTTTAAATACAATAATTTTATACGTCTTCTAATACAATATAACCAATTTATAGGGCAATGAGTGAATAATTTCTTTAAAAATAATATAAATTAAGCCATTTTTTTACTCTTAAAAACTGTTCCAGTTTTAACTTTAAACAATATAAGGGCCTTTTAATTACACTCATCGTGGGTTCGACCAGACTCACGGTAGAGCGGCAAGTGGTGAAAGACGGGGCCCCATATATCCGGAAGGAACCACTCCGGAAAAATTCCCCGAATTTTTCCTCCAGAGCGATAAGCTGGTGCCCCAACTACATTGCTAATTATCACAATATCACGTATTGAATTTCACACTCACGAGTAATAATTAAAGATTTTCGTAGTTTTTAAAATTATTTATGAGTTAAAATTAATTACAAAACGGTTGCTAATGATATATCAAAATTCTAATATAGCACTCAATTATATTTTAATAATTATCTTCTATTCTACAGGAAGATGGCATTCTTTGGAATACGCCTTACTGTTATCAAGATAGTTTATGTTCCAGACGTTGCGAAGCAAGTTAGTATTTATATTATTTTAATAAATTTTAAGTGTATGCTGGAAATTTCTTTTTTGCAGTTATTCCCATGAAGACACTAAATAAAAGCTGCGAAAAAAGTATTGATTGTCAACTTGTATCCGGAGAGTTATCCTTGTGCAGAGACGGAATATGTAAATGTGAAGATGGTTACTGGATTAAGAATCCTATCGTTTGCGATCCAGGTTAAAAACTTTTAATGTATATTAAATTAAAACCTTATCCGATAGATCTCAATATTTAAAATCTTTTTACCATTTTGTTTTAGTATCTCATCCAGATTACATCCGCTTTGGCACAAGGTATTTCAGGATTTCTTCCGATCATTTAACTTTCGAAAATTCCGTAGAACAATGCAAAAAAGAAAATGGTACCCTGGTTAAAATAGAAGATGCGGCTACTTACAACTTCTTGCTGAAAATTATGAAACAAAAGAAGATAAAAAGTGCGTGGGTTGGATTGAGCGATAAAGTCGAAGAAGGTACTTGGGTTTGGACGGACGGAACCGAATTAGGAAGCATACATTTTTGGGCCGAGAACGAACCAAATAATTTGCATGGAAATGAAAACTGTGTGGAAATAACCTCCGTTATAAAGTATAAATGGAACGATGCCGATTGTAATCTCGAAAATGCTTATTTTTGTCAATTTAACGGTGAAAATTAGAAGTGTATCTAACAACCCGCATATCACCTAATTCGAGAAAGTACACAAAATAATATATAATAGTTAAATTATTGTTAATGTTTATAAAATAAAAATTATATTGGCATATTAATTTAAACATATTTATTTGATCAATTATTAATGCAAATATTTAGAGTAATTAAGTACAGTACATACAATTCGGAAATGTATTCGAATACATGGATATAATTTCTAGATAATTTTTTAAATACAGTAAACACTCGTAACTCGGACTAATAGAGGTAAAGGTTGTCCGAATTAGTGAGGTGTTTTCTTCGATGTGGAAAACGCGTTGGCACAGTACACTAATTTATGACGAGCAGCTCTATACAGAAGTTTTACTGACCTTTAATGGGCTGTACTGCTGAAATTATTAAAGGAAATGACCTCAAAAAATGTCCTAACAGTATACAGCAATGAACACTTCAGTAACTTACTGCATACGGTAATATAATACAAGATATCTAAATAAGGTCTATAATTTTTCTATTGTCAAGAAATTTTAAATTACCGTACAATTTCTCGAAAAAATTTGTCCTGGTTATCGAATTTATTTTTATTATTAATTTAATAAAATCTTTCATTCGCATAACTTAACGAGCAAGATAATCCAATTTTAAGCCAAGGAGACGTTCACTAATTAAGTATAGTTTTGAGCCACTTGTAAACAGGAGAGAGAGGGGTCACAACGATGTACTTTTGGCAAAACCCCCTTTAATTAAAAGTACAATTCTTTGTGGACCTCCGACATTTGAAAAAGTTCTGCAAATATTTTCTGGTAGTTTATTCCATGTTTAGTACGTAGACTTACACGAACAAATTGTAAAAAAAAAAGTCTACATAGACAATGTCTCAGTCCATCTCCCTCCCCATCGTGTACAATGAGGTATTTTTCTCTCCCCCTCAAACTGTACACGTAATTAATGGACGGTCCACAACACTATAAATTCTAGATTTATCTAGAACAAATTTCTATTTAATTAAATATTTTAAGTAACTTTTTACAGATTTTTAAATGTAAAATACTAATTATTAGTAGATAAAGTATGAAATATCGATGTAGAAAGCCGTAAAATTCCCGAAACGAAGAACTTAGCATATTATATAATAAAATTAGATAATTTATAATTATAAAGGAATTTTATTGTTTAGCATATCTCATTATAGAGCGATTCGCATCGTTAAGCTGGAATGTTAGTGGTCGTGTCGCGCTTAAAATAACTCTACTTTTCTGACTATTCAAAATACATTTTAAGAGATTCAAATGACATTAACGTTTAATTTCTACGAGAAAATATTTTAATGGAAATATTAAAATATCAGGTTTCTTAACAATAAACTGTTCTTCTATTAAATACTTCTCATTATTACATTCTTAAAGCATTATAATTAATAAGTACTGCTAACTAATAATCTACTTAAAAGGTTTCTGTTTAGTTATGTAAAGAATATGCACATATAAAAGTCGCCCTACTTGCATAAATAATTAAACTCGAATATTTAAGACAAAGAATTTTATAAATTTTATCATCAGATAAACTATAAAAACTGAGTTGGATGACTCAACATGTAAACAAGCGTTAAAATTTACGATTTATTTATTTATTTTCAAGTTTCTGTCTGCCCCGAGGCACTAATAGGGCCCTTTTTATGAGATCCTTCATGAATGGGGCCCGACATGTCTGAAAACAGGCCATGTTTAAATCTCACGTAATCTTTTTATATTCGTAGAATTTAAATAGAATATTTAAATGTAGAACCATTAACCTTCATTATTTGTAGTTAGAGAGAAATACACGACATTAAATGTCTCAAATTTACATGTTCAACTCCATAGACACTGCTACATTTTATTCAACGACACACTAGTAATAGGCATTCATCATTCTGTAATAATAATGTCCATTAATTACATGTTTAAAGGGGGTCACGAAAAATGGTACCATTATACACGATGGGAGAGAGGGAATTGAGACATTGCCTATTGTAACCAACAGGGAGGAGAAGAATTAGATGTGGCTCAAGCTGTGCACGTAATTAATGGACGGTTCGTGTATTTCAGTAATAATCTAATATACTAAATAATCAGTCGATTTTTAATCAAAATAGCAAATTACATATATTATTATAATGAGAAGTATTTTATGTTTTTAAGTTAATGGCACCATGTAGAAAACTCAATACATGCTCATATAGAAAAAAAACTAATAAAAAATAAAACAATTTTGATTTAAATTAAAGAAAGCACTTATATAATCAGATTATGACACAATTTTCAATCAGGCAATAGAATACGTCCAGATTTTCCAGATGAAGAAATTGGCAATTTAGATAATGAACTATACAGCATCGATGCAAGAAGTAAGAAAAGTAATCGGAATATTTCTACACTTGTAAGCACAATGTGCTAATGGCGAGAAACCATGTGAAAAGATGCAATGGAATGGATCAAATCGCACCAATAACCATCGCAACTTTTTCTTTTAGAAGAATTGGAGTTATTTTTGGTGATTATTTAGTTATTGTTACCAATTATTATTATTAGATATAAGTAATTTATAACAACGAAATGTTTTAAATTTATTTTTTTAAGCTTTAAGAAATAAAACAAAATACTGTAAAAATATAAATCAATTATACTACATATGAATTTAAATTTTGATTCAGAGAAATTATTATAAAGTAAAATATTAAATTATTTAAGGAAAAACTGATTAAAAGAAGTGGTAATATGTTTGTATAGAAGTGTATTATATATATCAATAAAAGTGTATAGAAATGTAATTTATAAAACATTCTTTTAGTATATTTTTTTATCATCATCAATTTAAGAATTAAGATTTCAGAACAATAAATTTATATTGTTTTTTCTTTTTTAATAATTTATGCAGACTATAAATATAGTTTCCTTTTTATTTTTTCATTTCAAATACTGTATTCCAACAAAAGTTTTTAAAGTCTCTTGAATACTTGAAGAAATGATGATAATTATTGCAAAATTATAATATAAACTTGAATGATTTAGCTCTCACCTTTAAAAAGGGAAAGGGGAGAAACTAAAAATTCCTATAAATATACAAAACACCATGTACATTTTATACATAAAAGTAATGTATATGTACAGTACATAAAACAATAAATATTAATATTTGTAAAAGCAGTTATTTATATAAAGTTTGTTGAACAAAATTAATAGATAAAAAATTTATTGTAATAGAGTAAGCAAATATTGAAAAAGCATATATCTTGTATAGTATAATAGAACTTATTCAACTAATAGCCTTTTTATCTTGTAATCAATATTTATCATTTAATTAGTAGTAATTAGTCAACAGAAAACAAAACTTTACTCTCTGAAAGTTGAGATTGATAAAGATAGAAAATCTCAAATCATTTAACCATTTTTTAATCATAAGAAGCCACATCTGTACAAAGAATGATTTCCATATTAGCAATCATTTATTGAAAAATAACTTTCTGTAATCACATTTTGATAGATCAAGAATTTTGAACCGAAAATGACACACACTCATAAGAAGACCACTAGCTGTGGATAATCTACAATTCAATCTTATTAATATTCTAGAAATTGAACAATTTAAATAAACTATTTTAAAAAATTCACTTTCCCTGCTTTAGGTGCTTAGAAACAGAAGCGATAAATTCCAGACCTCTTAAACAGCAAATAAAACGCGTTGCGATTGATTTTCACCCTAGAATGAGCTAAGCGTATAAAATCATTGCCAAGAAGGACAAAGTTGATCTTACGTACTACAAACGCGACCCTTCGATATATAAACTTCTGGCTAATACCAAAGATAAATGCAGCGTAGCCAGAAAACCCGGGATATATTTGGTTCCGCTAGACAACAACAGATTTAATCCGATTAAAAACTTAATATACATAGGCTCAACCAACAGATCACTTTCAGAAAGGATAGCCGAGCATAAATACGATATACACAATAATAAGTTTAATACCATCCTAGCCGAATGTAACGGCCAACTGGGAAGATGTTAAGATTTTAATTCCAATGCTTGATAGTTATAAACTTAGAACAATAGAAACACTAGAAATCTTTGAAAATTCCCTGAAAGAAAAAATTGTATTAACAGCAGAGATGCCGACTCGCTCTCCACCGCTTGGAAATCACTCCTCGATAACCCCTTAAATAAATAAGACTAATCCATCCTCTCATCGAATTCGTCGCAAACTTGTTTACATTTTTCTCAATTTATCTAGTTATTTAATCTTATTTTACAGTAATACCCCGACTTACGCGAACCCGGAGTTACGCGATTTTCAAATCTTGTCGATTCGTCTTTTGTTTGAGCGCCACGCAATCCTCGATTACTCACTCCCCCCACACTATTGTTCAACTTACATGTTCGGATGTGTCGCGCGGAATCCACACATAGCTACAATTTATTTCGTGTTATTTATTTCTGTGTTTGTTATATCTACGGAGACTCGAGAGACTCTACTACAGGGGTGACCAACCTTTTGCATACCATGCGCCAATTTTTTGATAGACGAGTTCAGATGCGCAGTGGCGTACCGTGGGTGTTAGCCGCCCGGGGCGGAGAAAAATTTCGGCCACCCTTTAATCAGGTATTTCAATTTAAAAGATCAAAATTCAGTTGTGTGAAAAAAAAAATAAAAAATGCGGTGGTGGTGTAGTTACCCGTACAAAATAGTCCCATTTGACATTAGTGGCATACACGATTGCGAATGTATCGTGAATCGTAGAAGCAAAAAAAAAATTAGGAGGTTTAGTGATAAGTGTTTCTTATAGAGAGTTCGAAAAGCTCCTTTCGGAGCTCAGCGCGATAAGACGACGACACGAAAATTTAAAAAGAGAATTACAAAACTTGATGATCCGTCACCAAGAATTGTGGACTTTCGTAAATCAGTTCAACACGAAATTCAAATTGGTTCTCGTGATTCTTTATTTCGGAATAATTTGGGGAACGAGCTTTTTGTATTACGCGTACTTGTACCTTGTTATGCACGAGCTTGTAAGAATTTGGTTCTTCCTGGCAATGATTCTGATGTCTTTCGTCTGCATTATATACAGTTGTTTGCTATGCTGCGTAGCTTTTACGGTATTTATATATTTATTTATTATATTTTAAAACTTTTTTATATTTTTGATTAAATTGATTTCTAATTTTCTAGATGCAAAATGCATTTCAGGATATTCGGCAATTTGCAACGTGCGATTTGGAACTGCAAAAGAAGCTAAAAGTACGCTTTTATAGTGATTTTGTTATTATTATTATTATTATAAGTTAGGTTTGTTTTAATAAATTTAATATTGAATATAAATTTTTTTGTTAGGTATTGGATTTCATGAAAAGATTTGGGAAAGTCCCCATGTGTCTCTCGATTGGAGGTTTCTTCTACGTCGACAAGAGGATCCCTTTCAAGGAAATTATTTTCACTTCGCTATTTAATTATTATAGGANTGAAAAATGCTCAATCTTTAAATTCAAGCATCATTCGTAAACGTCACAGTATTATCGCTGAGATGGAAACAATGTTAAAATTATGGTGTAATAATCGAGTAAATGTGAAAAATTGTAAAATAATATAGGCCTAATTTGTTATACATATGTATTATCTAAGATTTTATTAAACATTTTTTTAATTATTGTTTTCTTTAGTCTCCGGCCCCAATTAAAAATTATTTATATGTACAGTATTTATATGCGAAATTATACCCCGACTTACGCGGTTACCGCTCGGTCCCACCTATCGCGTAAGTTCGGGGTATTACTGTATTCTTGTAGCAATAGTCCATTCACATATCTATTTTGTTAATTTTTTTCAATTTTGTATGTCTTTTAATCTTCCGTTTAAAACAACGACGTCATAGGAAATAGGAAACTTTCTATAAAGAATAACACCTTTCGAATTTTTGTTAAGTGACAATGCTATAGAACCTGAAAACGTTTGTTCTCTCAACAAACTGCTAGAAAATGTGTAAAAAGGTTTTATGAAACTTATTTTTGACAAAAAGCATGGGAGTCATTAAGCTTTAAAGAGGGTTAACAAAATGTTAACCCTCTTTGAAGCTTAATGACCGTGCCATCCACACAAACATACTAACAATCATACATACTGATGAAACCCTCAAATTTTTTTTTTCATTTCTTGAATGCAAATGCAAAAATATAAAAATCTGGGAGGTCATCTTTTGACCTGTTGCCATACTTTCCCTGTTATATATTGTTATATATAACAGATCCAGGAAAGTAAAAAGTAAACTTAATTGAACCTTTTCTAATTATTGCAAAATATAAATGCAAATATCAAGAAATGTTTTAAATATTTGTATTTATTATTTAATATATTTCTAAATTTTTCTTTTTAAGTTTTTTCTAGCTATTTCTAAAAGATTTTTTTTTTACAGCTGGGTTCTGTCACACAAATAGAAGTATCTTTGTTTTATGATTACTCTCATTTTAAAAATCTTTGTTGTTTACTCTAGTGCTCAAATTGAATGTTTATTCTCAGTTTAAATATGTTTAACTGATTCTTAAACAGATTTAATTTTTAAAAATTAATCATAACACCTAATCAATGTTAAATGTGCAGACAAATTTTGCATCTTAAATTTATTTAATATTGAATTTCTAATATCAAATAAAACTGCCATAAAAATTTTATTGGTAAATTTTAATATTACATAAGCCATAAGATTACAGCCAATGCTAAAAAAAATTAATGATTTAACTTCTGCATTTTATAATTTACAATACTTTGGCAATTTAAATTACATTTTATTCATAATTCTAAAATGAATTATATTTTCAATGAGTGTGTTACTTCATAATAAAACATTCATCATCTTAATACCAAATATATTTTCTGCAATTAAAATAGAAATATAAAATATATTTAATTATGTTATTCCATTATTTTTTAAATCATACTAAATTTTTATTTTTATATAATAGAATAAATTTACTTAATATTAAAAGCAAATTTAACCACACAACTGTCTATTGGTAAAACAGAAAAGGTTTATTTTTGCAAGTACAATCCTGGAAAAAAGTTTGAGACCAGGTTCATAAATTCATATTTTACAACATTCTAAAATACTATAGACTATGTAACCTAATTCATTTTCATTTTCTCTTTAAATAATTAAAAATACATTTGTCCAATTGGAGGTTTATAACAGGTCAGTCCATAAGTTCGTGCGCATTTTTATCTACAAAAAAAGCAACAAAAAATTTTAATTAAATCTTATTTCAATCTATAATGTATTCACCATTATTTTGTACAATTTCTTCCCATCTTGATGGTAGCTTTTTAATCCCGTCTTTGTAAAATGATTTCGGTTTTGAATCAAAATATTCAGAAATAGCCTTTTTTACATTGTTCTCATCCTCAAAAGTTTTTCCTTTTAAAAAATTCTGCAAACTCCGAAAAAGATGATAATCACTGGGAGCAATATCTGGCAAATATGGTGGATGAGGTAAAATTTCCCAGTTGAAGCTTTGGAGTTGAGCAGTTGACGTTGTTGTCAGTTAGCTATTGACAGTTCATGTGGTATCCATTTTCCTAGCTTTGAAACTTTTCCGATTTGTTGTAGATGTCTATGAACAGTTCCATGGGATGAATTTAAACGTTCCGCAATTTCATCAACTGTTAAAGATGGTTCTGCTTCAACTAGTGCAGAGAGAGCATCATCATCAAAGTCAACGGGTCTTCCAGTACGAGCCTTATCCTCCACACTAAAATCATTATTTCTAAATCTTTCAAACCACTTCTGCGCAGTCCTTACACTAATTACAGTTTGATTATGAACAGTATTTAATTTTTTGGCTGCATTTGTAGCATTCTCACCACTTAAAAATAAAAAGTATAAAACATGTCTCTTATATTCATCTGTTACTTCCATTTTAACGAAAATAAACAACTGAAATGTTCCCAATTCTGAACAGTATTATATGAATGAGATCCAATTTAACACTTCAGTGTAAAAAGTATCACATTAGACTGCATTTTTAACAGCAAAACAAGGTCATAAAATACACAAGAACTTATGGACTGACCTAATAAATATTGATCAATTGTTGTAAAAATAAAAATTTGGCCTAAACAGCATAACAGTAATTTTAAGATATACAGAAATTATGAAATTAAAGAAAATGAATGTATTAAAGTTTATTCCATTATGCTGAAAAATAATGTGAATAATAAAGACTAATATATACTAATCATATTAAATTTAATACTTTATAATTCAGTGTATCTTACTCTGTGCATAACTTTTAATTTCAATAAATTTAAATAACCAATGAGTAATTATTTATTGTGACAATCATATTTTTAAAATTTATTTAATTTAAAATATATGCTCTCCTCCTCAAATTAGTATTGTCATGCTCCTGTACATCATACTTTTCCTGTTAGTAATATAGTCATGCCAGTCATCTATCTAACTCCTGATGGGAAAATTTTTTAATTGAAATAACATGGCTTCTGGTTTGCATTGGGAGTTTGTATTTTGTTAATCGGGCCTCCTGCCCCTAATCTTTCCATATCTGGTCCCAGCTTTTATTTATCTAACTCCGTTCTTGAGATTAAGGACAGACAGACAAACAGAAGTTGGAATTATAAATTCTCACTAGGTCTTTTATGTTTACAATTTTTCAAATTGCAGCCCAATGAAAATATTAATAAGTACAGTGGGTGATCGGTTAACATACATAATCCGTTCCAAGACTTTGTTCACTATCCGAATTGTTCGTTAACCGATTACCAATTTACCATAGGTTTGTATAGGAATTTGATTAATTCGTTCTGGAGACCCCAAAAAATAAAAAAATATATACTTTCTTACTACATTCATTTATATGTAATAATAAAAATACATATATATGAAGTCTTGCATTTTTATTAGTTATGTTTTTTTGTTTATGGGGGTTAAAGAATCTGTCTAATGTCGATTGCTTCTCTCTCTTCTTAAGGATTTTCAGAAGTAATTACAGTAATAGCATTGTAATTGTAGAGATCCCCAAGCCTATTAATCTCAACCTGGTTTGTATGCCATTCTAAGACCATTGATCTGACATCCCCCATATCTTCAAAAGATCCTTTAATTAATAGCAGATATCGGCATTAATCCTCTTTTTGATAATAAAACATATCTCGCCGAGTTTCTTGGTGTTCTTCATTCAAGAGTTCTTGGCATTCTTCTGTCGTCAGATCCATTTCAGGTTCTATTATAAGCTCTTTAATGTTCTTTATTTCTCAGAAGTGATTTTTGTTACTCCTTTAGCTGCTTGAGTCTTCTTGATTATACTGTATTTTTTTTTTAGATAAGATTGAACTGCACCCTACTGTAGATTTGTTCAAGCCATACTGCCCAGCAACATCAGACATCTCACGAATACTATAAAAGAATTGTTTCTGTCAGAAAAATAAAAGACTGGAATTACAAGGGAGAGTTTCAAAGTTCGGAGGAATACTATCTGACCAGTATAATCCGGGTTGAGCGTAGATGTCAACGTCTCCAATGCTCTGAAAAGTTTCAAATTGTTGCCTGAAGACAAGGGGAAATCAATCAGTATTTGCTATTTTCATTGCTTCTTTTTTTTATATTTGTTCAGTGAAGTGTTCGTTATCTGAACATGTGTTCGTTGTCCGATCATAAAAATCTTTCACGAAAGTGTTCATTAACCGATCACCCAAGGTATTAAAAAATATTTTTTAAATGTTTGCAAAAATTCCCAATCTGTTATGAGAGTAATATTAATTAGATGTTATTAGTGATACAATATTTAATAATAATAAAGGAAAATTTGAAATTTATTACTTGTGTAAATTTCATGCAAACAAAAAAAAAATTTTTATCTGAAATATACATCATCACACAAATAGGATGTGATGACAGAGCTGTGCAAATTTTTGGATCGTGACTTTTACTTTCCTGTGTTATATAAATAACAACATGGGGAAGTATTGGAATCATGTGATATTTGAGTTTTTTTGTAAATTAGAAATTTTGAGACCCCTTGATTCCCAAAAATATAAAAAATTTAAGTGGACATGTGCATCTTTTTCATTTAATCTCTCAGGTTGGAGAAAAGATTAAGAAGCAAAATTTGGTACAGTAATCTGGATACAAAGGGTTTCAATGCTATTTAATTTTGATGGATAAAGGTTAAATGGATGAAGAGATATGGGGGAGTCAGGTATCATACCTTGAGTTTAATCAAACTTAAAATTTTACTTATGGGCAATTACAATTTTTTAAAAACTCATCTCTACTATCAAAATTAAGCATTTTGCCTTTTTGTAATAATTAATGATATAAAAGTTACTTTAAATAAAACCTCATAACAGATGGTGCCACACACAATTTTAACTTTGTGCTATGTCTTAGTTTCTTAAACAAATATTTATAACAGGAAAGGTATGAAACTCATTACTGGACAGTCTTTATCATATAAAAATAAAATGCTGAAGACCTAAAAAGATATTTAATTTCATTTAGAATTAACTATACATTTTTGATTATAATGCTATATTAATGTGATTTATTTGGAATGATACAATTACAATGAAGTCTTGCTAATCTGATTAATGCTCAGAAATTGGCAAGTAGTTCAGATTTGTGGAATTATATATAAAGAACAGGTAGTGGAAAAGAATAACTACAGACAAGAGCTTATACTTGAAAAAAATTTTTATACTGTATTTGAGACCAATAGTTATGTTATAATGTATAGTACATATTAATTTTACAAATCTGTCATATTTTTAAAAATAGATCTAAAATTTCTTTTGGCTGGATCATTTAGAATTTGTAGAAATACAATACCTAACCCTTTGAAAAATAATATTGTTAAAAAAACAGGATCACTTGAAGACTAATAGCTTTAACTTGCTAGCATATCCAACAAACAATAAGTATGAAAAGTTTAATGCATATTTTGGATTATTGTTCTCCTTGTGAATAAGTGATAAGACGACATCCCATTTGATATTGCACACATCATGTAAATGTTTCATTCACACAGTAGATTAGCCTCTAAAAAAGGTCAAAGTAATTAGCCACCAGTGTTCCTATTTTTAGCATTATTATTTTATTGCGTTTTTACAAAATTTAAGCAATTATACTCCTTTTGTTTTGCAATTCTTTAACTGGAACATTTGGTGACAAAATAAACAATTGGTTTGTATTAAGCAGAGTTCAGATTAAATATGCAATTCCTTTTATTTTCATTAGTCCAAAAATAATTTTTTTTATTAATAAAAAGCAGTTATTTATCTAAAAATTCTGCCATAGAATTTAATTGTAGAGTTAAATACAGTCGCCCCCCCTATAATGTGCATTCCTATAACGGAAATTCCTATAACATAGCGAAAAAATTGCAGCAACATTCGTTTAAAGGAGCTCCTAAAACGTCATCGCTGACTCGTTTCGCAACAAGATTGACAGAATCTGGACCAATAGTGGATGAGCAGCCAAACTACTTTCCTCCGCCACGCTACAGAGCGGCTAAATTAAGTTTGCTATCGTCTGTACAGTATTATATATAAATTATATATAAATTAGGTACTGTACATATAATTATATATTAACTTATTGTAACTTTATTATAATTAAATATATAATTTCCGCCGTCTAGCATGGCGCCATGCTACAGAGATTTTAGGCAATAAGTTGAGTTTATTATCGTCTGTACAGTATGTAAATTAGGTACCGTAAGTCTAATACAGCACTAATTTTATACATTTCTTGTGAAAGAAACACTTCTTATTCAACGTCCATAATAATTATTTATATTAATGATGTCTCCAAAAGTCAAGTTATTTTTCTGCGAAAAATTCATTATCAGAAATCACGGCCATCGTTTCGTGTGCTGTTCCGCAACGAAAACAAGCTTTGAGCAATGGCAAACGGTACACACTCGGTAAGTAATCCTATAATTTTTTGTTTATAGCATAGTTTATACAGATTATTCCCAAAAAATTATACGTGTTTTGGAAATGTTGAGTGGAATTAGTCTAGAATCGGTTAATTTTATAGAAGAAAACCTTTCAAACAGCCTTAGTCTGTAAACTTCCCACCTATTGGGCTGCGATTGGCTCATGTATTTAATCATTCCTACAACGTAAAATTCGATTAACGTGGAACGTATCTAAGCGTTATAGGGGGGTCTACTGTATTGTGATGTTATAACAAAAACTGCTTAATTCTATACGAGTTTACTGATTTGGACAAATTTCTTAATCATTAAATAATTTGATTCTGTAAACCTGGTTTTTAGATAATTAAATTTTTCAGTAAAACAAAAGATATGTAAGTAAAAATACAGTCATCATGTCTGCTAATTTCAACAAAACAGATATGAAAGTTAATAATCAATAAGCCTTATATTTACAAAAATAAACTGGCTCAAAAGCATAAGAATTGAGTTACTTTTTTAAAAATTTCACTAACAAATTTTAACTATAAACTAAATAATATGACAAAATAGTTACCACTGTTTTTATGAATTTTCTGAAGTTTTCGATCTTTTCTCTACAATTTCTTGAATTCTTCTTTTCTTATATGTTTTATCTTTAAATATAAAAGATTATTATAATTAGTTTTTGGTCTAATATTAAATCCACTTACACAAACTTTTTAATATTAGATAAAAAAAAAAATCATCAAATGATACATTTCATAATCTTTTGATGAATGAACTGTCAATCACTTGATAACACAACACAAGAGTTGAAGATATGAGAATTATCTTTCCATGAGTCAGTTGGTAACTATATAATCATTTCATACTAGTGACAATCTAACAGCTGTCAGATAACCTTCATTCACCTATTCTGCTACTACTATACACATCCAATAAACATTGATAACTTCACTTCAACATTCAATATTTTGATTACTTCAACCTTACTTTAATTCTATACAGTCCTGTAGTCATGAATAAATCATTGGAAGCTAGCTGGACAAACTGAAAAAAATTGTGATTGGTATTTTTCTTTTTTCAGCTAGCATTAGACCTATGGTTTAAATGTAAACATAAGTAACAGTAGCCTAAGTTTACATGATGAAAGTAAAAGCATATATTTTATATATAGTGTTTGAAAAAGATAGTAATGCCCATAAACAATGTATTAAGCTGAGGGGCTCAGCCACATCATAGCTATTGATTCTATACAGTAGAATTTATATTTGTTGTTGTAAAGTAATAGATAAAATATACTGTGTAAAGATCATCATATCCTCTTTGAAAGACTATTTTATGACTTTTATATTGTATATTGCTTTTGTTCTTTCTCTTTTAAATACACCAGCAGTAATATATCTATACTCAATTCCAATATTCCTGGTATCTTTATTTCATTTCTTTCTCTGTCCCAGATATATATATGGCCCCATTCCCATCACTTGACCATCCCCACTGTGGGCATGAATGAAAAAAGTCCTTTAGTGCCCAAGTGAAAAAAGTTAAAAATCAGAACACCAAATCTGAAAAATGGGAGAGATTTTGTTCTCAAAAAACATTTAATCTTATTAAAACAATAATGCTTTGCACTTTTTAAATATTTATCTAATTCAGTGATAGTGAACTTCCTTCTGAAGGTGAGTCAAAATCGAATTCAAAATCTATTATTTCTAAATCAAAGGTCAATTTGAGGAATTAAAGATATAAAAATAAAATTGTAAAGCAATTTTTTAATCTATACATGTGAAAAGAAAGTAATAATGTAATTATAATGAAAACAAATACTGTAGAACCCTCAATTATCCAAGTTAATGTGGACCAATGCTACCTCAGATAACCAGAACTTCAGATAAAGTAGATTGCCACAGCCTTTTTGGATGAAAAATTATAAATATAAAAGATTTATACGGTATCGATTTTAAGCCTCTTTTCATACCTTATGAATTTGTGAATTTAATTACATATAAAAATAATTTTTACACCGCTTATTATATGTACATTTTTAGGAACAAAAATGTGTATTAATGTAGTCACATTTTAAATGTGAATGATTTATTTCGTATTGAAGTTAAATAATAAAAAGTAACAAAAAATTATGTTGTAGTCTGTTATGATTTTAAAGTTTCTTTTATAAATTACAATATAAGAATAGTAGTGTATTTGCTTGCAGGTTTGTATCAGATAATATAGAACCAGGTTCTATGTACTTCATTTTATGGGAAATTGTTATTGTTGTATGATGATAATTTTTCTATCTGGTTTATAATTAGCAACTTTTAGAATTTTTTCCAATAGTATTAGAACCCTGCTTTCACACTACTTATGCAGTTTTGAAATCTATAAAATAGCTTTTTTATGTAATTTATAAAAACCTAATACTTTCTAAACATTCAATGCAAGTATCTTAAAACCACCAGAGATCACAGATTCACCATCACTGATCTAATTTAATTCATTTCCATGGAGTTTACTATTATAAAGATGATACAATTAATTAGTTTATTGATTTTTCTAGATTTAAGAGGAAAAAAGTTTTAAATAAAAATCTAGAAATATCAGATCTTTTAATTTTTCATAACAGCAAAGAATATTCTGCTTCAAGCTGTTAAATTTTAAAATTTTTAGATGTTTGAAATGAACATTGATTTTCTGTGTGTAGAATATTGTATTCTAGAAGAGTTTAAAAGGAAAGATTTCCTTCAAGATAGGCATTTTATAATCCAAAAATGTTTGGGTTTAAAATACTGATAGACATTTTCCATACTGGTTCCAGCAGATACATTTATTGAAAAAAAATTTTTCGATCACTTTCAGAGATCTTGGTCAGGTTATTACGTGTTTCCATAATTATGGAAACACATAATAATGTTTTTTCCAATAAATGTGGCTACTGGAACCAGTACAGAAGGGTGTCTGTCAGTATTTGTGCTATTTTCCAGCTCGAGGTGTTTTTTGTTTGGATTTTATTTTGTGAAATCTTTTGTTAAATTATTGATTTGTTTTAACTAGTAGCAGTCTAATGGTTGTCAACTAATCTCCATCCAGTTCATTCTGCTTCCAGTAAAGTTAGAGGTTTGTGTTTATTTGTAAAAAATTACATCAGATATATCATATGATAATTCATTTAATTGCAAGTTATAACAAAAGTTTAATGTGAAAATCAAAAGTGTTTATTTTTGGATTTTCATATAAAACTTTCAAGTTACAAAATAATCCCCAATTACTAGCACAGATTCATAAAATTTTAGAAAACAAAGAATTTGTTTAATCTTGAAACTGCTGCAATAATTTTTTTCTCAATTTCATCAAGAAACAATGCATTGAACAAACAAATTTATTATCAGAAATTTCCTATTGTGACCTCTTTGTAACACAACTACTATCTCTACTTTAAGCTAAACAGGTAGTCTCAACTTTTGGACAACTTATTCTTTTGTACATGATGCTTTTATACTCCTAAATTCCTTTTCACCACCAAATTCAGACTATCATGCACTATTACTTTGTCAGTTCTGATTTCAGTATCATCAAAATAATTTGTGAAAATTAATGTTTATCATCTGCTTTTCTGTTTAATCTACAGTTTTAACATTTTAAATAGTGTTTTATGCATTATAATGTATTCACAGTAAAAACTAAAACCTCTCTATCTTAATAAAAATTTTTATAATTTGTCTTTTTAGCTCTCTGGAAATGGAACTCCCTTTATAACATGAATTAATGTTTGGCTTTCAGATATTCGGTTTTCAAATTTTTTAAAATACAATACTTTTAATCTGAAAATCAGGACTGTCTATATATAAAAATTGATGATAAAATTAGACTTTAATTTTAATAATACAAGGTGCTTCAGAAATAGATGATAATGCTAATGTGCAAAGACCAGTTCATACTTCAAGAGAACAAAAAAGAGAAGAGAAAAAATTAATACTGAATAGATATAGTGTGCAACACTTTGCACATTACTAGTGACATACTTCCATTCTCTTTTGGTTAGCAAGAAAAGTTGAGAGAAAGTCTACTTTCCTCTCTGTTGGTAGTCTTATTTTTATCAGTCTCCACATTAAAGGACACAATTCTTTGTCCTTCAATGTGGAGACTGATAAAAATAAAACAGTTAGAATTAATGTAGAATTATAATTATAATATGTATATTTTAAGCCAATCAAATCCAAATAGATTTGTATAAAGATAATCAGTATTTAAAACTTATCTAAAATATTGAAAATGCACTTCATAATCATTTTCCCTATTTTTTGTAATGTTATAATAATCTTTACTCTCTCTACTCAAATTAATTAACCATATATATATTCTCATTTTTTAAAGAATTTTATGATTCAAAACATGCTTTTAATTATAGCTAATAGGTGCCATATTTTAAACTGCAGATACCAAAAGCTCACATTTTTCTCTTGTTGTTTTGAAGTATGTTTTTGATGTACAGAAGCTACCCATTTATGAATGTTCAACTTGTAAACTTTCAGACTTATGAACAATATGACCACACATCTGAAATTTAAATTTTGTGCAGATTCTGAAGTTCTCTTGCTGCTCGTGGGGTGGCATTGAAGTGAGCATTTGACTAGTAATATGCAATATATTTTTAATAAATAATTAATCTGGGCTTATTTCTATTGCATATCATCATTTTTCATTTTCATGCAAATTCTGAGGTTCCATCACCACTCGTGAAGTGGCATCAAAGTCAGTAATATTGGAGCAACAACATTTATTAGATATTTTCACAATGTTCAATGATGACTCAGGATATTTTTTTTTTTAATATTAAAGAATTTATTGATATTGTTTGCAATTTTTATAAACTTTTATTATTAGTGTTTCAAAAATGCATTCAAACTATATTATTGATAGTGAATCTAACAGTGAAGATAAATGCAAGAAGTGTTGCTCTATTACCATGAAGACTAAAATTGACATTATAAAACCAAGTATGTTAGGTGAAAAACTCCTCATCTGAAACAACTGCTACTAAGTAGAAGTGAATAGTAATGAGCATAATATATTCTATTAAGTATATTGAAGGATCAAACACTAACAATACATGATTATTCTGTGTAAAAATGTACTTTCTAGGTTAGTTTTTGACTTACAACAAAACCTTGGGAACATAACCTGTTCTTAAGTAGGAGAGCACCTGTATTTGAAGTAAGTTTCTCTTCCTGTAAATGAATGCTTATGGAAAGAAAATAACAGAAAAGAGAAGAGATACATTCTCTTCCCTTTTCTGTTCTCATGAAATATGAACAGATCTTAACTTGTTATACCAAATTTTAGTGGCAAGTTGTCTTCTTAATTCAGTTCTCCATCATGGGCAAGAAGTCAACTCAATTGTGGAATTCTCAAAAAAAAAAAAAATAATAATAATAATAAGGCCCTACTACTACTGCCATAGTGACTGCACACCCTCTCCACGTGTTAATTTTTTTGAAGCATCCTGTATAATAATTTGAAATAATTTTCTGAATATTTTAGGCAAAAAAGGAAATTATTACAAATTTAATATTTATATAAAAAAGGTTTTAATCTTATCTAAACAGAAATTATTGTTTATTTTACTACTTATATAAATCATTAAATTAATTAC